TTTGATGCAAATATGTTGTAATTGATACGTGTTTAGGACATGGTTTAGGACTTTAGATAAATTTATTGTGGTTACCTGATATCTTTGGCTTCATTTTCCGTCAGAATCAAGCAAGCAAGCTCGTTGTGACCAACAAAATACATGCGAGTTCTACCGCGTTCGATGGATACAGTATTTTACTGCATAATTTTATGAGCTTCGTTGAATAGTTATTTACAAACTTCACGCCAGTGGATAAAATTTCAGTTTATGTGACATTATCTTGGATTTAAAATGTCACACGAAGATCAGAACTCTCAACTTATGGGCCGTTATGGCTAGGTAAGAGATTTAGTGATCGAATTACATAGTACTTTGCGACGGCCATACTCTGTCGGTTGGCACTGCATTTTGAAAATTTTGTGATTTGTAGGCGACTGTTATTTTCCCTAACGTCGCATGCAGAAAAATTTGATTCTTGTTTTGAGTTACACGTTATTTATTGTTTCCATTTATATAATTCAGGCGTTTCAGATAGGTGCCACACTTTTAAAATTCGCTCTTGAAGTAGTCATATTTTTGCGATTTGTCGAAAACCAGTTTACATGTTGTAAGTTTATAGCTGGTTCTGAAGAATTCTCAGGCGCATTTTGAACAATAATACGTCCAGATATTCAGCTATGCCAAATCTATAAACTGTACAAAAACTAAGGTTTTAAATTGAAATCCGCTTGTTTTACAGCGACGAGAAAATCAGTCATATTTCCGATTTTCAACTGTGATAATTGAATTTGCCTACTCCTATCTTAGTATCTATCCTGAAAATGTCAAAATCGACTTACGAATGAAATGCAACTCGTTTTCGTAATAGTTATGGCTAAAGTAAAAAAAAACTGAGCTTATAAGAAAAATCTAATTTTGCATTGAAATTCAGTGGGTGGTTTTTACAGAGACAGCCTCTTAAGACTCAAAAATGAACTAGTAATAGCGAAACAGATGCTGAATCTACATGAATATATAGCTTAAAAATTTCTTGTTTATCACTATCGATTAGGATGTACCTGTAGACATAATTTTTATTTCTGACATAATTTTGGATATTTCAGTATTCGAATCCTCCTTTTGGAGTATTGTAAACAATAGTTGTTTAAGTTTATCTTTAAATGCTATGGACTCATGTGAAAAGAGTCAGTCAACGTTCTGTCGAAAGTCGTGGGTTTTCTCTGGGTGGTCCGGTTTCCTCCCACAGGAAAAGACGGAGTTTAAAGACGAAAAGTTGACAGGGTGGGTTAGGATAAACACAGTTAAGAAAGTAAAATCACAATTGTTGTAAAGATAAAATAGTCTAGGCTAAGTATGTAATTAGGCAAGCGTATACTACTTGATGTAAAGCGCATTTGATCACTCCACATGTAAAATATTTGTGCTATGGAAATGTTAATCTTTAAGCGCCTTTTCCGGCAATTCTCTGAATTTTCTTGGAATTGTAATCTACATTGGTTTATATAATAATTACCTATACGGGTATATATAATAATATATTGTTGTGAACGTTTATACAGTTACATTTACAGATCAGTAGTGTTAATATTATTAAGGAAATTTACAATTTTGATTGACACTTCGGATATAGTGCATAACATGTGAGCGAGCGTTGACTTTAAAACTGGAATTATAACTTAAACAAAACGTGATATTATATAGTCTTCAAACCGATTGTGGGAATCAAACTAAACTTCACCACAATATATCCCATACTGCATAGATATCTGAACACAAAACTGCGAAATTTTATCTGATGTCAGAACCATTCTTAGAGATATATGAGGATGGTTCGATTCCCACCGTGGTCAGGCAAACAATTCAGCTTGCCCGGTATAATGCACACTCAGAGTAACACCACAAACAACTAGTCTCATATTATTCTGACAAATTTGATGTTTCGTCCGAAATTCGAATTCCGCTAGAAATTCTCGTTGCCTACTCTTCAGAATAATATGAAACTACTGTAGTACTTATACACTGTATCTATTTGTTAATTACTGTAAGTTCCAAACACGAGGAAAACATACCAAAACATGGTTCCATCTCCTGTCTCTCCCCACCATTGTAGACACACTTGAATATCTTTGGGATGATTGTTTACTTGCCATTTTATTTCATCCACTGTTACCGCAAGAAAACATCGCAGTTGCCCTTTCACTTCCGGTGGTAAACTGCTTTCTATGCGAACTTTGTCGTCCTCAGTTCCTAGATCTTTTAATAAAATATAAGAGTTAGGGCTCTTTTCCACTTTTACGCTTTAGACTCAATAAATGATGGACCATTAACAGACTGCAACTTATTATGACCGTATTTTGCGGAACTGTACATAGTAAAATTATCAACATACAGTATACTGTATGGCAGCAAAAAGGACATTAATTTGACGCTGTTAGTGCTAATATTACATAATTTTTATCAAATGCAGACCAATAAATGGAGATGTACACTAGCACGGCCACCGAGAGAGAGGGAGGCATTTTGTCCCAGGTCCCGGTCAACCTCTTGGCAGCCCTGTGAACTAGTATTTCCCCATGCTCATCCTACCATTAAGGACTGTATTATATACTAACGGCTTATTGACCGAGCGTGAGGTCTGTACTGTGAAATATCAGACCGAGGTTTTTTAGTATGGACCGAGCGACGAAGGAGCAAGGTCCATGCAAAAAAACAGAGGTCTGATATTTCACAGTACAGATAGAACAAGCAAGGTCAATAATCGGTATGGCTGAACTGAGTCTGTGAGCATATGCTTTTCGCGCGAATTAAATCGGCTATCATCAGTTTCACTGGGTAACAATATACGGTATGCATGCATGCTCAATCAAAAACAATTTGGTTGTTTGAAATTTTTATCTGTAAGTATTAATGACACACAATTGGAAAATTAAAAAGCAAAATTTTTTTCTGTTTGCAAAGCAAAAATTTCCCGCCAGATAAACGACATCCGGGACACCGGGCTAGATACGGAAAATACGGACCACGGTCCGGATATGGGTTTTTGCGGACCGCTTGAAAAGCCATATAATAATACTGTATATGTGTTGAAGGGTTATGGTGGAAATTTTGCATGACCAATTATTCCAACTTTCTTTCACATACTGCTCCTCTTTTTGACAGGTTGAATATACTTGACATTTATAAGATCAACTCGTTCTACATCGCTAAATTCACATAGACGGATTTTTATATTTTGCTCGGGGGGTTGTTTATAGTCTTAATTCAAAATCTGTCATTTGTCCCAATGAGATTTTTTTGGGGGGGGTGTCCAAATTGCTCTGGGTGGGGTGGGAAATAATTTTTTTTGGGGGGGTGCAAAATAATTTTGAGGAGTGCGCACTCCCCTGCAGCCCCCCAGGAAATTCGTCCATGTAGAGTAAATTCGTGCATCTTTATCATAAACAGTTACTTCCTCCTTCTTTCCTTCATTTGTTCAGCACAAGTGACGGAATTCATAGTTATAATGCAAGAAATGCTATTTATATCAAATACATTCATGTAAAACTACAACAAAACACAATACTTTTCCAAGCTAGGTCCTAAACTGTGGAATTTGCTTCCAGGAAATTTATATCTGACAGAGACTTTAATTGCTTCTGGAATGGAATCAAAAATATATTTACTGACTGAATGCATAGTTGATTTTGTTGTTGCGTGTTGCTTCCTTTTTCTCTTGACACTGAAGGAAGCATCCGTTAAACAAGCCTGATGGTTTCTACATGTCGCCTTACCATTAATAATATATTACTTGCTATATTCTCCATAGAAACATACTAACCATTTTCTGTATGTTCTGTAATATTATATGTGGCTAAATAAATATTGATTGATTGAATTACAAACTTTAAGCAACATACTGTATTTTAGACCCACAATGTAGGAATCAAGCCTGTAGTTCTGGTGCAGCACTCTGACCACTGAGCTTGAGACCAATGATGCTTTCACATGCAACTTCAACATTTATAAGTTCAATCAAGTGAGATGCCAGATCTTGATATTTATCCATGATACTCCATATAATATGTATGCCTTACCAGACATCACCTTAGTATATTTACTTGAACTTGCAGTTACATGGAACTGTAGCTCAATTGGTTAGAACACTGTACCGGAATCGCAGGGAGTGATACATAGACTGGATCTGTGGATCTTAAAAAATAAAAACTACAGCACCAGAATTCAGAAGAGTGCGAATAGTGGTTCAAATGGAAAATTGATCTTGGATTTATGTAAGAAACTTATCATGTAGGAAAAATTCCAATTTAGGAGCATCTATATTCATCAATGATTCAATTACAGCCTTGATTAACTGGAAAAATTTTGCAATGAAAATTCCCAAGTGAAACAGCCAAGATGAAGATGTGCCATAATTCAAGGCATCATACTTAACCCATTAATTAGCTGCAGAGCTTCCCCCATTGACAAGTAAAATTGTCTGGTGTTAGACAAGTAAAAAAAAAGTATGGCGCACTGGGGCGCATTGTGGCTCAATGGGTTAACTAGAGACATCGTCAGATTTTTTGGTTATAACGATTAATTACACTGACAAGACGCGTCCGGAACTTGTACACCCCATTCTTGGGTTCCGAACTGCAAAGGGGAAACTAGATGGCAACAACAAAATTGAAAGGAGTGAAATTTTGTGGTAGAAAGTAGTGCTATTGTTTACATGTCTTGTAGATGGAAATTATTGAGTGGAAATTTACAGTATATATATTTATTAGACCTAACCAGGAATACAGTAGTTGTGAAAACTTTAGGACCCTGGCAGGAATTGAACGTGTGACCCTGCATTTCCGTTGCAGCACTCTAACCAACTGAGCTACAGAGGCCAGTTGTCGAGCTCTAACTACAAGTTCATGTATATATATCAATATTTTATATATAAATATCAATATTTTGTTGGCATCTCACTCAATTAAAAAATAGTTGAAAGATATTGTAGATGGAAATTATCAAGTGGAAATTTATATACAGTACATATATATATATATATATATATATACATATATATATATATAGATATATAAATTTATACATAGCGCTGAACCAGAACCACAGGGTTCAATTCCTACCAGGGACCTAAAGTTGCATTTTCCGCAGCTGTTCCAGGTAAGGTTAGGTCTAATTATAAATGTATATGAATTTCCACTCAATAATTTCAATGCACAATATTTCAATTCAACTATTATTCAATTGAGTGAGATGGTAACAAAATCTTGATATTGTTTACAAGCACTATTTAATATGCTTGTGTCATGTCTGAGTGTATATCCACACCGGGCAGGCTTGAAAAATATGCCTGGCCACGGTGAAAAATATGCCTGGTCAAGCCTGCCCGGTGTGGATATACACTCAGAGTAATATCACACAAGCATCTTATTCACATTACACCAACACAGCAAATATCAAGTACTATTTACTTCACAACATCACTACTCTTGTCACTACTTTGCTTCTTATCGTTTTAAACGATAATATTGCTGCACGGTTGTCCAACAATATTGCTGCATGGTTGGCCACCCAATCTCATTCCCCGAGTCTGCGATCCTCAGGAAGGAACGCGAGGCTCTGGGATAATCCGTTTCAGGGAGGAATCTGCAAACATTCCAACCTCTGAGTCCTCAAAACCAGGACACTTACCAATTTTCCTCCCTCTAATAAATGCTGTGCTTTTCTCATTGATGCGGTGTCTATTTGGGTTATAAATGGGTTGTTTGGTGTATAATAAAATTAGTTTAGTCACACGTATTAGTTTTCCGCGTAATAATAAAAAAATCAGGGTCATTTAGCATATTATGCGCAAAAAATCTCGTATTCAAGAGCCTGTAATTATTGCGCCCGCTTCTGTTACGCTGCTTTACTTCATGTAGCCCTGGCAAAATGATTAGGAATTGAAAGCAAACGCTAAATTGTCAAAAGAGAATTACATCAATCGGCGACAAACTCTGCAATTGTTCGGGGCAACTAGAAGCTCCCATTTCATTAATATGTATTGAACCAAACGAATTTCATTAATATTTGTCACATTAGCCTTATTTGAAGAATAAAACTATTAAAATACTACAGAAACCGGGACAACAAGAAGAAAACCGGGACAACATAGTCCAAACCCGGGACAGTCCCAGATGGAACGTTTTAATCTGGATGGCCGTTGAAATGGAATGCACAGTTCAATCTTAGCCAGGATTCCTGACTTCCGGCAACGGATTATCCCAGAGCCTCACGTTCCTTCCTGAGGATCACAGGCTCGGGGAACAAGATTGATTGGAAACATCAAAACCGCTGTGCACATAGTTTTGATGTTCAATTTCCAGTCTGGTGCATGTCAGCATGCAGTTACAAGAGAATGAAGAGATCATGCAGTTGTAGCTCAAGAGATGCAATTATTACTCAAAATGGCGCAATTTCGAAATTTATAATCACATTATTTTTGGCTAATCAGATTGCAAGAACGCCACTGATTTCAAAATGAATATATACTACAATTAAATAATTTATTTGAAAAAAGAACTCCATGTTTTAACATGTTGATATTGATGAGAACTACAGAAAAGAACATTGATTCAAATCACCATTCAACTCACCTTGTTTCACTTTAGCTTTTAAACTTTTGTGCATTTGCGTAGCCTTCAATTATTACCAAACATTAACATTGCATTTGAAAATTTACCGAAATTCACAACAACATTTTGGCGCCATCTTGTGTTTAAAATCAGTGAAATACTTCATGTAATACAAACGTGGAAAACACCAAACTCGTAAACCATGTTTCGCGCACCAATATAAATTAGGGTTAGGGGTTAGGTTTAAGGTTAGGGATAGAGTGTGTATAGATGTATATGGAGGTATCCAGTTAACTTTTCAGTACATTACATAACGTTTACTATATTGGTGCGCTAAACATGGAACGATTACCTAATATTTGACACCATCCTCGATCCCAGGGCTTCTCGCAATTTTTGGGAAGAGATTATTTCGCTGGCCTCAAAGTGACAAAACGTAACAAAGCAACGGTTTTACTAACACTAACCCTACTCCAAATACCAACTCTAACCCTAATAATCCTTACCCTAACCCTATGCAAATTTGTTTCTAAACCAACCTTGAAGAAAAGTTTTGACGAAATGTCATTCTGAGGTCAGCGAAATAGTTGATGCCCAATTTTTGCTGCGATTTCTAGTGCGATTTTCTTCTTCTGATGGATGTGAACGAGTAGATGAGTTCTAAATATGAAGGAACTCAGAACATTCAGAACTCATTTACTCGTTCACACATGAAGGAACATGTACTCAGAACATTCATAACTCATTTACTCGTTCACACATGAAGGAACATGTACTCAGAACATTC